GAGAGCTCCCTGCTCCTCTACGAGTGCAAAGCCTGCACTCTAAAAAGTACTACAGACCTGAAGCTGATTCCAAATACTTTTTATCAGTTTAGCTGAAAATAATATAATTGGGCATCTAATCTATTTTTTCTGCTTTGGTTAAACAGAAATAACTAATCAGAACCTCAAAAATAAATTCTTCATCAATCTAAATATATAAAATCACATTCACGTCTCCCTTGTGCCAGCCCCACCCCTCTCTAACGTAAAGAAAATGAAACTTAAGGAGTTGGCGTACTTCATATTTGTCCTGGGTCATCTTTTCATTCACGTTTTCAAGGTATTGTGTGGATGTCTCCACAACTACGATCCACGCTTCAAATAAATAGAAACAAAACACTTGGTGTTAACGAAGATATATTACAAATATTTCCTTCTTTAATGTGGAAAAGCGTCCGCTGTCACCTCTCGTACTGATCGCAGTCAGCGTGAATGAAATCAAACCGCGGATCGCGGCTATCAGTTTCAGCGGACTAACGGACTTTATACTCCTCATTGTTCTCATCACTGATCGATGGATTTGGGATATTTTGCAAATAAAGGGCCATAAACACAGTGAGAAACAGACAAAATGGTCATAGAGATGCCTTAAAAATACATGGCACGGAGAGAGAATCATTGCAGTCTCTGTCCATGTTAACCTGTGACTATTTATTCTTATTTGTTGAGGAGCACTTGTACTGTATGCTGTTAACTTGCTTCTGTGCAGCTCACAGCTAAAACACTCCAGCAGTATGCCTCGATGTTGAATTTTGTGTATGTTGTTGCAAAGTTTATTTCAGGGGTACAGTATCTGAAAAGGTAAGGTAATAAAACTGCAGAGGAGATAAGAGTGTGCAACTTTCTTTATTGTTCTTGTTCAAATGATCCTTAGTCGGCACCTTGTCAAACTTGGGTGTGCTCCTCTTGTACAAAGCAAGTAAGAACCTCATCCAACTTTCACCCCTGTATTAGAGTACAGGTTGTCACAGGTTAGTCCACTGAAGATAAAATGTGGAGTCCATGGGCTCTTTTTTCGTGCCTCGCCGGTGACGCGGCACATGCACGGCGTAAGTCAGGTCCGCCGCCCCGACAAGGCACAATTTGGTATTTTGGTGAGCGGCGCAGCGCGGCTTAAGTATCCCCCCTCCCTAACTCAGCTCCTCCCAGCGGCGTAAGTCATAGCGAGGGAGGAGAGAGGGCGTGGAGTGGGTTTAACACAGCCGAGACCTGTATTGACCAATAACATCAGCTCCTCTCCTCGCCTTTAAATCCGGCGAGGCGTATTACTATTTTCGTGAAGTAGTCAAAGAGATCAAGAGATGTCTGAAAACAGTAATGCCACACGATGGCGACAGAAGGCAGCCCCTCAACAAGTGTCACTGTAAACGCTGCAGAGGGTGTCCTTCACACTCTCTCATATGAGCACAGATGGATTTGGTGTGTGTAAGTTTGGACCCACTAGTAAGACAAACACCCTTTTCCACAAATAAAGACACACACCTAAAGTTGCACATATTCAAACCTCACGTGACAAAGGTGGGTTGTGCGCAGAGATCACATCATAAATTCCATAAAAGGCAATAAAACTGGAACCATCTGTGCGTAAATGATGCATCGCGCTCCGTGGCCTGGCTCTTTCTTTCATAGATGTTGGCATATAAAATAAATTTGGCTCACAAAACTGAATATTATAATATTCGAATGTAGGCTTAAAGTAAAATCATCTGTTCAGCCGCTGCAGCAGCAGCAGCAGCAGGACGGGGAGAGGACACAGAGACATGTCCAGGTCAAGCTGCGCGAGAAATAAGAGGAAGAGGAAGAAAGAGAAGGAGGGAGATGAATTACATATCTTGTACACTTCATCATGTGTGTCTGTTTACTAGATATTTTATTTAATTTAATGCGGTTTCAGTTGTGCTGATTCGGTCAGGTTGTGAGTCCAAACGCGTGCCAAACGCGCTCATCAGATCAGACATAGAATTATTTATTGCACTGAAATGTGCCTGACACTGTGGAAACCTGCCGGTGGGGCATCGGTGACGTATGCCGATACACCGCAGGTCTACCAAAAAAGCACTAGACCAGCTGCGCTCTGCCTGCGCTGAAAGCTGACCAGGTTTGAATCGGCAAGCTTTCAGCGCACTTTATACGACGGTGGCATATAAAATGTCACTGCGCCTGTGATTCTGTCGACACCTCCCCCTACCACGCCACGCCCAGCTTGGCTGATCTCGGTGCACCTCAGTCCACGAAAATACCAAACTGGCTGTACGCCGGGCTCCACCAGACGAAAATACAACTGCGCAGGGTCTGCCACCCTCCGACACGAAAATAGAGCCCCACATCTCCATGCTGTAAGTGAGTGAGTTAAAGGACCAGCACACCTGACACACCGCTGACATCTGCATACAGTCACAGGTTAACACGGACAGAGACTGCAGTGACTCTGTCTCTGTGATTTAATGTAATACATGCAGTTAATAAAAGGTTAAAAACAGTGTTTAACCCTTGTGTAACCGTCGCATTTTGGTAACGCTCAGTGGCTAAAAAAAGCCACTTTTTTGACTGCTGTAAAAACATATTGGATTCATATTTTTTCCAGATTTTTATATATCTCTTAAGTAACTTCTGCTCTATTCAAAAATGGTTAATTTTTCATGAAGCATCAAAATTTTAACCCTTTAAGGGCCAATTTAAAAAAAAAAGTCACCAAAATTGGGAAAAAATAGGAGAAAATGACTGATATTTAATAGAAAACATCATCCTAAACTGGAAATCTCTTGCAGGGTAATAAAGTCTTGAATATGTAAAGGATTAGTAATATCATTGACTTTGATGCCCTTTAAGTTTTTTATGTAGGATCAGATTTCCAAAAAAAATCCTATCTTAACGCTCAGTGGCTAAAAAAAGCCACTTTTTTGACTGCTGTAAAAACATATTGGATTCATATTTTTTCCAGATTTTTTTTCATATATCTCTTGATTAACTTCTGCTCTATTCAAAAATAGTAAATCTTTCATGAGGCATCAAAATTTTAACCCTTTTAGGGCCAATTTTAAAAAAAAAGTCACTAAAATTGGGAAAAAATAGGAGAAAATGACTGATATTTAATAGAAAACATCATCCTGAACTGGAAATCTCTTGCAGGGTAATAAAGTCTTGAATATGTAAAGGATTAGTAATATCATTGACTTTGATGCCCTTTAAGTTTTTTATGTAGGATCAGATTTCCAAAAAACATCCTATCTTAACGCTCAGTGGCTAAAAAAAGCCACTCCAGCCACTCCAGTCAATTTTGGTGACTTTTTTTTTTAAATTGGCCCTTAAAGGGTTAAAATTTTGATGCTTAATGAAAAATTTACCATTTTTGAATAGAGCAGAAGTTACTTAAGAGACATATGAAAAAAAATCTGGAAAAAATATGAATCCAATATGTTTTTACAGCAGTCAAAAAAATTACCGTTACCAAAGGGTGTAAAATTTGCCGAGCGCCTATTTTTGACCTGGTGAAAATTTTGAAGTAATATTTTCAAAGTGTCCATCAATATAAGCATCCACAAAAAAAATCATCCCATTTGGTGCAGTAAAAAAAAAGTTACGTGGAAATTGGTGGCTAAATTCTGCCCCAAGTGGCTCTTTTTAGCCACACCGTTACATAAGGGTTAAAAACAATGGTTAAAAACACTATAAAACCTCATTTTGATTATATTTAGATATTCGTTTATCAAGTTAAATGTGTTATGTGATTTTGGCAGTTCATAGGGAGGATGTATGTGATTAAAAACTATAAACGTTGAGACAGTCATGTCACTTGTAACATTTCAGTAATACTGTAGTATTGTGTTTTGTAGTACAAGTTTACATGTTTTGGTTATTGGAATATAGACTAGAAGAAGTCTGGTCAGTACATGGTGAGAGTTGACAGAAGATGCAGCATGTGCTCCTGTTCACCTTTATGTAATTGTGTATTCACAGGAGTCCTGTTAAAATAAATGTGTTGCACGGGAGATGAGTTGGCCCATCATTTTCTGCAGTGTAACAGAAGCACAAGTAAACAGTCTTGAACTGCACTTCAGGACCGTAACAGTTTTTACGTGGGTTATTACAAGGGGCATGCGCTGCTACTAAATAGCACAGAGATGTTGTCTGTGATCACACAGCCCCTGCACCCCTCCCCCCCAGCGCCACCGCTGCCACACAGAATATCCCCGGATTTCATTACAGACATCTGGTCACCTTACTTTTGCACAAAATGGATAAACCGAAATCCAAACCTCCACTGCTGAGCCAATCAGAGCACAGCAGGCTTCACAGCAGCGATCCAATCAGAGCAAAGCTCATTAACATAAATGTTGATGAGCCAAAGTCAGTTAGTTCTCCTGTAAGGTTTTTTAGGCATACTAAAATGGTTTAAAACAAACCATCAAATAACTTTTCAGCTAAAATTATGTTGCAAACATGATCAGAGGACATCAAGGATTATGAAAAAAATTAGTGAAATGGGTATGAAATTTTGATGGCAGGTCCCCTTTAATTTAGTCACAAAATGAGCAGTCTTGAAGAAGAAAATGAAATTGCATTTAGGAATATTGCTTTTTATTTTTAAAAGCAACATGGTCAGATGGTCTGTTTTTGTCAATTTTGATAACCAGTATCTTTCATAAAAGTGTTATAATTTACAGGAAAATTCATGGGGAATAAAATGTAACCCTCTTTTGCGATGTATTAATGTATTAATACATTTTTTGAACAGTTTACACATACTGTAATTTGTCAATGTTATTCAGATATTGCAAAGTTTTGATGTTACTACATTAGTATGACCATCAGCAGTGATTTATTGATGACCCCACTTTTAAAAATTCTGTTAATATTTTTTAATGTGTGTTTCAGTGTATTGGTCAGCATGACTTGGAGAACATTTGCAAGGCTCCTAGTTGTTCTGGGTGAAGACAACTCCATTTGAATGGTTCTTCCAGGTGGAATTCCTGATTCCCTGGAGGACCTCATCAGTGACATCAAACAAACATGTGCATTGTCTGGACGGATAAGGCTTCAATACAAAGACACTGACTTTGGGGACATGTTTGTCAATTTGACCTCTACCACTGACATTAAGTACCTAAGTACTGTCAAAGTCATTCAGATGGACAAACAACCCTTTGCTTCTCCTAGCCCTGGAGCTGAGCTCTTGCTCATCTAGCCAGAGTGATGATTTTAGTTCTGCTGGATCTTCTGGATCAGACAGTACCATAATACTGGACAGGTTACCTTCAACATTGAGAACAATACAATGGCCAAATGAGTTCCCTATTCCATGCTTTTCCCTTGAGACAGAGATGCAGTTGCAAAAAGGAAATGCAGAATATGATGCTAAAAAGCTCAGACTAAAAGATGTTGTCAGATATACTGGAAAAACTGGCAGAGGAAATCTTCAAGTACAAAGCCTATCCTAAGGATATGGACTATTGTAAGGTAGAAGAAGCTTTAAGAAAGAAGCATCCTTGTCTTAGTGAGCCGGGTTCATTCAACGGCTGCTACGGCTGGAAGCAGATGCTCAATTAAAAGATGGCTAACTACAGGACACCACTCAAAGCACATGGGACCCCTGAAGTTCTGTGAATTCCCTGAAAGTTAAGGCCCCACAAAATGCCATTCCTGCAAAGCGACCAAGACGTGCTGAGGTAAACTACTACTCGTCACTGCCATGTGATGCATCTCTAGAAACCATGGAAAAAGAGAGAGAGTTACTACTTACAGAAGTGAAGAAAAGAGGTAATAGAGCAAATGTTGCTCAGAAAATGGAGCAGACATTTGCCTACCGAAGACAGGAAGTGATTGATCAGGAGTCTACTGTGGATGAAGTCTGGACGAGGTGGCCTGCATTGTTTGAAATACCTGAGGTATCATGAGAGAAAGTTAACCCTCAGATAACCCCTTATATGTTTTGTCTATTATCCCCCATATGGACAAAATGTGCATTTGGGACGAAGTTTGAGTGTACATAATCCTTTCCTGCATTGCAACACCATCCACCTCCCCCACCAAAAAAACAAACAAAAACAAAACAGAAATGACCCTAATATAGTGTCCTTAACACAACTACTACTGTCATTCCAGGTCAATGCAGAGTTCCTGCGAATCACGACAGTTCCTCTTGAAACAAAATTCATGGCTCAATTGGACATGCATGTGAGTAGGCTGGTGGAGATCATTGGGTGCAAGACAGGAGCTGTGCAGCAGAAGACCAGCAAGTTCTTGAAGACCTTCAACCAGGTAAAATGTTGAGGGGAAACTGTTGTCACCTTATGCTCATAAGACAGTGTGCAACATGCACATGCAGCAGTTTGCATAGGGGCAGGACAGAGAAACAAGTTCAATTTCAAGCTTCCCTGTTATTTTTCTGTTATTTCTCTTAAGTAAAGGCTACACTGCACGTCATAATGGTTAGTCACAAGTAGATATTAGTGTATGGTTATGCACATTATGATTGGATTATTTAATGTTTATTTGACTATTTGATGTGTCGATGTTAACACTGATCCGCAAAAATTTAAACAGATTGAAGAAATATCGTACATGTAACTGCAGCTATTTTTTGCAGACTGTTGACATCAACACCCGAAAAGAGAACCTCCTAAAATCCTTGATCCTCTACTTTGGTGAAGATTTTGAATGCCTCTTCAAAGAATACCTATTAAATGTTAATTATGTTTATATAGACTGAGCTCATCATACTACTGGCCACATTTTGAAGTTGGGTGCATATTCCTTGCCTGGTAAAATCATTATGATCGCAGGCCTCAAATTTCTGCCATTGTTTTCAATATGGCAACAAACGGTAAAGCTGCCTTTTGTTTATAAGTTGTTATTGATCAGCTTGGGAAATGCTGGGAAACGGGGAATTTTTGCAGAGTTTAGCAGGCAACATTGAAGCTAAAGACTATGGTAATGCTAACTCATACTTTTCCATAATTACAGGATGTGAGCAGAGTTAAAGCTGAAATTGAACTGGAGCAGCAGTCCATGGTGATTTTTGTCATCTGCTCAGAAGGTGACCCTGATGCTTCAACTGCAGACATACAATGGATATGAAAAGTCTTCACACCCCTGTTCAAATGCCAGGTTTTTGTGATGTAAGAAAATGATGGCAAGATAAATATTTTCACATTTTTTCCACCTTTAATATGACCTATAACCTGTACAATGCAATTGAAAAACAAACTGAAACCTTTAAGGGAAAGAATAAAGAACAGAAAAGTTAAAATAACCTGGTTGCATCAATATGCACACTCTGGGTAAAGCCACTCCGAGAACAGCACCCTCTGTTGATGAGCTGCAGTATAGGTCATAAATCCCGCCTCCGCCGGCAAAGCATAGAAACTGGACAAACTTTAGAAATCCCCCCCCCCCCCCCCCGTTTGTGATGTTGACATGTAGTTATAGTAAGACTGGTTTGTGCTCAGGTCCTCTTTTTTCGGTGAAGCCCCGTTTCTACAAGTTATTAGGAGGTTCATGTTTTCTATGATTGACACTTGATACAGCCTATGGGCGTTCAGGGATTGCGTACCTCTCCCAGGGGAGAAGCTGTTTGAGCCGAGTGTCATCACAGCAACTCGCAGCAACTGCGCAACCGAATGCATACAACGCTACTGCGCAGCACTGGTTTCAGCAAAAAAAATAAAAATACAAAAATAAACGAAATATCGAGAGCTATTTGGCTTCAAATCCCTATACAGGCGGCAGGCGGAACCAAGTTGTCCATTGTACATAAAGTCTATGGTAAGGACCTCTCAGCGTGGCACATCTTGATGTGGCAATATTTGCCCAATATTCTTTGCAAAGCCGCTCCAAATCTGACAGATTGCTAGGGCATCTTCTATGCACAGCCCTCTTCAGATCACCCCACAAATGTTCGATGGTATTCAGGTCTGGGCTCTGGCCGGGCCATTCCAAAGTCTTAATCTTATTCCAGTAAACCCATTCTTTTGTTGATTCAGATGTGTGCTTTGGGTTATTGTCATGCTAAAGGTTGCCTCTTCATCTTCAGCTTTCTAGCAGAAGGCCGAGGGTTTTGTGCCAACACTGACTGGTATTTGAAACTGTTCATAATTCCTTCTACCCTGACTAAGGTACCAGTTCCTGCTAAAGAAAAATAGCCCCAAAGCATGATGCTGCCACGACCATGCTTCACTATGGGTATGGTGTTCTTTATAATCATCAACAACTAATAATCTGAGTCAGCACATACATTTAGATCTATATAGATATATTCTGATCCATATCTGATCTGATGAGCGTGTTTGGCATGTGTTTGGACACACAACCTGACCGAATCAACACAGCTGAAACCGCATTAAATTAAATTAAATTAAATATCTAGGAAACAGACACACATGATGAAGTTAACAAGACATGTAATCTGTCTCCCTCCTTTTCTTTCTTCCTCTTCCTCTTATTTCTCGCTCGACCTGGACATGTCTCTGTGTCCTCTCCCCGTCCTGCTGCAGCTGCAGCTGCGACGGCCGAACAGATGATTTGTTTCAGTGATCAGATGAGTTATTTACTTTAAGCCTACATACGAATATTATAATATTCAGTTTTGTGAAAGAAAGAGCCAGGCCACGGAGCGCGATGCGTCATTTACGCACAGATGGTTCCGATTTTAATGCCATTATTTGAATTCATGATGTGATCTCTGCGCACAACCCAGCTTTGTCACGTGAGCTTTGAATGTATGCAACTTTATGTGAGTGTCTTTATTTATGGAACCAACATTACACACACCAAATCCATCTGTGCTCATATGAGAGAGTGTGAAGGACGCCCTCTGCAGCGTTTACAGCGACACTTGTTGAGGGGCTGCCTTCTGTTGCCATCGTGTGGCATTTCCGTCTTCAGGGCGGCGGACCTGACTTATGCCGCGCATGCACCATGTCATTGGCAAAGCACGAAAATAGAGCCCCTGATGTTGTCATGGAAGGAAATGTTTGGAATTCTGTATTCAGAGAAGGATTTGAAGTCTGTAGAATAGAGTTAAGTAACTTCAGCTTGGAATAAGCTGTCGTGTTGAGAGAAACTGTTGTCAAAGAACCAAGTTCTTGCAGCGTCAATTGTTTTGTTTTCCATAAAAGTGATTTTGTACATGTCGCGGGTTCAGTTTCTTTAAGTTCTTTTTCGGTTGTGGAGGGAAAGATGATGGCACAGTCGAGAACCGAGTACGGTGATTTCCTTTTATTTACACCATCTCCAAAAAAATACCCACAGGTGAAAACTCTTATGTACAAAAAATATTTACAAAAATTATTTACAAAAAAGACAGAGGAAAAACTATTTACAAACCGCAATTCAAATACCAGGACCAACATACGTCTGCTCAACCAGGAGGCACCCCAACAAGTGAGCTGAGCTCCTTTAAATACCCCTTGGCCCCTCCTCCGGACAAACCAATCAAAACAATCTAGGGGTTTTTCAAGATATCAGCTATTATATCATAACTAATATTTCCACATACACAAAATAATACAAAGCAATTACTGTTGCTCACACCCTCCACATGGCTGAGCCAATATTAAACCCAAACACAATATTTTTCCTATAAATCAATTTGTTCCCGGACTTTGGTTTCTCCCTGGGTCACCTGACCCGCGGAGGCACGTCACCTAGTGCTACTTAACAGGTGACCCAGAACTGCCTCTGTTCAGTCCATGAAGCGGAGACAGAAGGTAAGTGTGTATGTGTGTGCGTGTACGTGTAAGCGAGACCCGTGTAGGTGTTTGAGTGTGCACCCTCTAACACCAACCACGGGGACGCAAGAGTCCAATTATTGTCTTTAAATGTTCATTTTGACTCCCGTCCGTCTGTCACTCCAGCCGCGAGTGACCACGCTATTCCCCCACGTCGGCGCCGAGCGACGAGGGAAAGCGAGAGGGAGAGAAGGCGTCCAGCCGCGAGAGAGAGCGTGCGTCCAGCCGCGAGAGAGAGAGCGTCCAGCCGCGAGGGAGAGAGCAGCCAGCCGCGATGAGGACGGCGTTAGTGGCGCCCCGCCACATTACCCCTCTCCTCCCCGAGGTTGGCGATGTGCGGCAACCTTGACAGATAGTCTGCCACAACATTGCTCTTGCCCGGCCGATGGTGGATCCGGAATCTGAATGGTTGGAGGGAGAGGTACCAGCGGGTGAGACGACTGTTGTGATCCTTCATCGAATGAATCCACGTCAGCGCCCGATGGTCAGTCTCCAAGTCGAACTCCCTCCCCAGCAGGTAGTATCTCATACTCTCCAGGGCCCATTTGATCGCCAGGCCTTCCTTCTCCACCGTGGAGTACCTGGTCTCCCGTGGCAGCAGCTTGCGGCTCAGGTACAGCACTGGTCGCTCCTCCCCAGGTTCACCTTGGGCCAGGACTGCCCCCAGTCCCACAGCTGAAGCATCCGTCTGGACCAGGAACCGCTGTCTGAAGTCAGGGCTTCTCAAAACTGGCGCAGAGCACAAGCAGGCTTTGAGAGCGTGGAAGGCCGTCTCGCAGTCATTGTTCCAGATGACAGGGTTTCTCTGGTCCTTCGCTGTCAGAGCTGTCAGAGGCGCTGCGATGGTGGCAAACTGTGGGACGAACCTTCTGTACCAGCCGGCCAAACCCAAGAAGGACCTCACCTCCTTCTTGGTTCGAGGGCGTGGGCAGCTGCGGATGGCCTCCACCTTGTCCACCTGCGGCCGGACCTCCCCTCGTCCCAGCCGGTACCCCAGGTACTCTGTCTCCTCCTTAGCCCACTGGCATTTGGCTGGATTCAGTGTCAGGCCTGCCTGCTGGATCTGGCCCAGGACTCGCTCCAGGTGATGCAGGTGCTGCTCCCAGGTGTCACTGAAGATGACCACATCATCCAGGTAGGCAGCACTGCAGTCCTCACACCCCCGTAGAACCTGGTCCATCAGTCTCTGGAAGGTGGCGGGTGCCCCATGCAGGTCAAAGGGCATCACCGTGAACTGGAAGAGGCCGGAAGGTGTCTGGAACGCTGTGTAGGGACGACTGGATGCTTCCAAGGGTACCTGCCAGTAGCCCTTACAGAGGTCCATGGTGGTGATGAACCTGGCCCGGCCAATCCTCTCCAGCAGCTCGTCGATCCGTGGCATCGGGTAGGCGTCAAACTCCGACATTGCGTTCAGCTTCCTGAAGTCGATGCAGATGCGGAGGGAACCGTCCTTCTTCACCACAATGACCACTGGGCTGCACCACTCGGACTGCGACGGTTCGATCACCCCCAGGCGCTGCATCTCTTCCACCTCCTTCAGGAGCTTGGCCATCAGATGTTGTGGCACCCGGTAACTCCTCTGGCGAACTGGCCCCTTGTCTTTCAGGTGGACCACGTGCTCGATGAGGCCGGTCCTCCCCGGGCTGGCAGCGAAGAGCTTGGAGACCCTCTCGAACACCTGGCACAGCTGGCTGGACTGGACAGCAGAGAGATGGCCCAGAGCAGGTTCAGCATACTGGTGGCGGTCGGCGAGGATACACTCCTCCTCCCCTTCACTGTCCCCCTCCATCACCAATAGGGCCGCCACAGGGCCCTGAGCTGGAGCCTCCTTCCACTCCTTCAGCAGGTTGATGTGGTAGACCTGCTTTGCCCTTTTCTTGTCCGGGTGGTGGATCTCATAGGTCACAGGGCCCATCTTCCGGAGGACGGTGTACGGGCCCTGCCACTTGGCAAGCAGCTTGCTGTTGGAGGATGGGAGGAGGAGTAGGACCTTCTGGCCGGGCTGGAACTCTCTGCGTCTGGCATGTTGGTCGTACCACGCCTTCTGGGCCTGCTGGGCTTCGCGCAGGTTGACCTCGGCCTCCTCCCGGTACTTTGCCAGCCGGTCCCTCATCTCCAACACGAATTGGACCACACTGCGGTCACTGGTGCCTGTTGCAGGAGCCTCCCACGTCTTTAGAAGCAGATCCAATGGCCCCTGTACCTCCCAGCCATACAGTAGTTCAAACGGGGAGAACCCCGTGGAGGCTTGGGGAACCTCTCGGTAGGCGAAAAGCAGGAAGGGTAACCACTGGTCCCAGTCTCGCCCGGTGTCAGACACAAATTTCTGCAGCATCTTCTT